TCATTGTAGATGGTATGCAACCTCCCTACGCCTGGACAAACTTCCACCACAGTATGTTTAACGAACGAGCTGAGACTTAAAAGCTGAGCAGTCAGACCAGGGCGGAGTAAAAGCAGCCGATCGGGGACCAGCATGCGTCAAAGCAGAAGTGCATGAAAGACCACATTATTCAAGGAATGCAGAAGGTTTGCTAGGTTAGAACTCAGACTGCACATTAATGAGGCGAGACGGAAGACGGATGAGCTGGCGATCAGAACAGAAAGGAGTTGCAGGCCATGCTTGAATGTCCCAACTTCTAAGGGAAACCCTGGAAGGATTTTAGGGCGAGAAGCCACAGGGATCTGTGTCTGAGCAAGCTCATTCCGGCAGCACGGAAGGGTGTACACAAAGGGGAAATGCATTTGGAATCGACTTCACCCATCCAGTGCAGCGGTTCTCACACCATGATGTTCCTCCCCAGCGGTTACCTGGCAACGTCCACATGGTTTGGGTTGTCATTTTGGTTGTCAGACTACAGGGGATGGGGATGGGGATGGGTACAGGCCACAGATGCTGCTAACACATATTCTGTATGTGTGTGTATTATATACCGTATTCTTACAATAAAGTAGGCTAGAGAAAAAGTTATTGAGAAAACAATACATTTACAATATTACACATACTTATTCAAGAAAACCAGCATATACGTGAACCCGCGCAGTTCAAACCCATGTTGTTCAAGAACCGATGTACTAAGTTTAAAAATGTCAGCAGGACAGACACACACGCTCTCACCTCATGGAAGGAAAATCCTTACCTTTACACCGTCCTCAGTCAGCCTTTAAATCCTCTGGCTGAGTCCAAGGGGCACCTCATGGGGTTGAGGGTGGTGAGAACTCACCTGCCAGTGTGGCCAGGGTTCGCTCAGCTGTTGCTCGGAGGGTCTCCCCCGGCTTCCACTCTGCCTGGGGCAGCACCCACACATCCTGGTCTCCAAACTTCTCTTTGACCAAGAGAACGAGGTTCCTGTCTAGCTTCCGGTGCAGTGAGGTCCGGTCCTTCTTTTTATCGGCTTCTGCGAAGAGATGGGGGTCAGAGGAGACGAGATCATGTGATCTGCCAGAACCAAGGAGATCAGAGCTTTTACAGTCTTCCTTTAGAGCCACAACGCTTGCTCTCAACAAAACTTAAAGAGTCCCTGTCCATCTGTGGTTGTGCTTTCTGCCATTTCAGTCACTCGCGATCAAATCGTAAATGGGAAAATTCCAGAAATAAGCTAGCCAAAAGCTTTACATTGCACCACATTCTGAACAGCCTGGTGAAATTGGGTGCCATCTTGCTCCATCCCTCCAGGGATATGAGCATCCCTTTGTCCAGCGTCTACAGGCTGTTTGTACTCCTGGCCCGGCAGTCACTCAGCCATTTCAGTTATCAAACAACTGTCCAAAAACCCCTATTTTACTTATTCATGTCCCCAAAGTGCAAGAGTAGTAATGCTAGCCATTCAGATATGCCAAAGAGAAGCCCTAAAGTGCTTCCTATATGTGAAATGATGAGTACATTCCAGATAAAGCTCAGGGAGCTACTGAAAAAGGCTTAATTTCCCCCTCTCTCAGTCCAAACTAGGAGATCAATTCAGAAAACATTTCTATAGTTTAATTAAGAAGGCTATCCCAACATCTTTATCTCCTATTCAAAAATACTATGGACCTTAAAAAATTATATTAGGGGCAGATGTGAGGAACTGGGGTCAAAGTTATTTTTCTCCCACCTGAAAGACGGATGATTTGTCATTTGCAATTATCTGTTACTTAAAACACTGAGCAGGGTTAAGCAGTTGCCTTTGGCTTGGGAACCAGAATACCCTTTTCCTCGTTCCCTTTTCTCCTGAAAAGGACCACACACCTGTTATGCGAGCTCCAGGTTTGAATTGCAGGAATTTCTGCTCCCACATTTCTTCCAAATCCTGTACCAGCAATATATTCTGTTCGTCTTCATCGTCATCGAGGTCGGCTTTCCTCTTTGCTAGGTGCTGGGCTTCGTCCAAAGCACGAAGCTCGTGGTCGGAATACCGGCTTCTCTCCATCTCGATCTGGGGAAATTACAAGAGGGAAAATAAAAGAGTTATAGCACACTAGACAGATTCAGAGGTTTACCACCCAACACAACCAGACATACAATCAAAACACCACAGGGAGCGGGGCCAGGGGGACACAGGGAAAGCATTGTGGGCTTGAGTTACATTTGCTAAAATGTGATAATGTGATTGGAGGTCAAGATGGTGAACAGCAGCCTGGCCAGCATGGCTCAGTGGTGGAGCATTGAACTATAAATTTGGAGATCACGGTTCAATTCCTGGTCAGGGCACATGCCCGGGTTGAGGGCTCCATCCCCAGTGTAGTGTGTGCAGGAGGCAGCTGATCAATAGTTCTCTCATCACTGATGTTTCTATCTCTCTCCCTCTCTCTCCCACTCTGAAATCAGTAACAATACAGTTAAAAAAAAAATTTTTTTTAAAAAGATGGTGAGTAACAGAGGCCATGCTGCAGTCATGTCAGTCTTTGATGGGACCCTCACGCACCAGGGACTTCCGTGGCCCATGGAGTTTACAGATGCCAATCTTTCTTCCTAGTATCCCTCCGGGGAGATTTCCTAATCCTCCTTCCGATCTCAGTTTAAATGCCACTTTCTTGGAGAGAGAAGCATTGACACCTCTCATAAGATTAAAATTAGGGGTCTCTGTTAAACTCTCTAACATTACTGTACATTTTCCTTCCCAAACATCAACTGAAAGTCTTTTTTTTTTTTTTAATATATTTTATTGATTTTGTACAGAGAGGAATGGAGAGAGATAGTTAGAAACATCGATGAGAGAGAGTCATCGATCAGCTGCCTCTTGCACACCCCCTATTGGGGATATGCCCGCAACCAAGGTCCATGCCCTTGACCGGAATCGAACCTGGGACCCTTCAGTCCCCAAGCCGACGCTCTATCCATTGAGCCAAACCGGTCTCGGCTGAAAGTCTTTTTTGCATTGAATTGTGACTGGCAATGGAAAGCAGATTTATTCTGAAAATGCCAAACACACAAAATCATGGGTTGATGCAGGTCAATCAACATAAGACTGCAAGGCCAAGTCCGCTTTGGAAAGAAGACAGTGCTCTGAGTTTGCTGGCATCAGGAAGTGTGGTGGATTATGAGGGTCTAAAACGAGGTGAAACCGTTAACACTGATCGCCACGGACAACAAAGAACCAATTTGAACCATGACCAGAATGGGCCAGAGGACTCTGCAAAGTAATTTTGCTTTATGCCGACGCACCATCACACACTTCAAAACCAGATGAAGACACGTTAAAGGATGTTGCCTGGGAAGTGTGAACCCACCCGCAGTATTCACCAGATCTCGCTCCTTCAGATGACCCCTTGTCCCGATGGATGGCACAAGTGCATAGTCAATCCGCATTACTAACCGGTACAACTAGTATACCGTCGTGTGATCGTCTGATTCCCGACTGGCCCTCCCCACCCGCATGAAGCGCTGTGTCTGTGCACAGTGAGTGCTCTCCGTGCTCCCCGGTGATTAATGAAAACCCTTGGCGAGGAGAGGGGCACACTGAGCACACAGCGATCGATGCACGGAAGCTTTAGCTCCCGGCAGCTCAGACAGGAGCCATTTCCGGTTCTGGAGCCCCCGAGACCCTCGCCGCCTCTACACCCAGTTCCTGCCCCGGGCTCCTCACTCGCCTCTCACGCCCACAGTCCTGGGGGGGAATCGGCGGGCTCTCTCGCGGGCATCTCGCGGGTGGGCCGCTGCCGACTCCTAACACGCCCCCCTGAGGCTTTCTTCTCAAAAAAAAAAAAAAAAAAAAAAAATCCGCCGAGACCGGTTTGGCTCAGTGGATAGAGCGTCGGCTTGGGGACTGAAGGGTCCCAGGTTCGATTCCGGTCAAGGGCATGTACCTTGGTTGCGGGCACATCTCCAGTGGGGGGTGTGCAAGAGGCAGCTGATCGATGACTCTCTCATCGATGTTTCTAACTCTCTCCCTTCCTCTCTGTACAAAATCAATAAAATATATATATATTTTTTTTTAAAAATCCCACACAAAGACCGTCTCCCCTCCAAACTGCCACCTGACAGCGACCAGTCCGCCCCGTTTAACACCGCTTCTGAACGCAATCCCAAAAGCAGTGTCTCCAGAGAGCTAGCTGCCTGAGGAGACGACACAGGAGGCCGAGGAAAGCGAACTGCCTTTCACTGGGCGCCTCCTATGCACCGGAGCAACCGCAAGAGGCAGGTGCCATGTTTGCGGGTCAAGTGCACTGAAGCTCCGGGCGGTGGGGCCCGAAGTCACACAGACTCATTGGGGCCAAAGCCGGGATCGAACCCGAGCCCGCGCGCTTCTCATGGGGTTTCCCTGGCGGCACCCCGAGGCACCCGACCCCGCGCCTCACGTCTACCTGCTGCAGCAGAGCCGCCATCTCCTCCTGCAGAGGGGTCAGCGCCTTGGAGACCACGGGTGGCCGCTGCAGGCACAGCGCCCCCCACAGACGCCACGGGGAGCCGCCGCTCGAGGGGGCGGCCGCCAGGGTCAGGCCGCGAGACGCCGGGCCGCCGGCCCACAGCGGGCGCCGCCAGCCCCTCGCCAGCCTCAGCAGCGCGCGCGCTCGGGGCGCCGCCATCCCTGCCCTCCCGTGATGCACCGCGGCCGCGGCCCGGCCAATCCCGCGTTCCCACAAGGCAGCGCGGGGACGGCGCTTCCGGAAGGACCGGGATGAACCATTTCCATGCGGAGGGGGTGGGGGCGGAGGGCTCCTGTTAGAATTTAAGGGAAAGAGAAGAAACTCCCAGCTGAAAACCACAGCGATGGTTACTATGGAGCGCACAAACCGGGATAAGAGACTTTAACGGGCCCGGCGAAGGGGAATCAGGTGATTTTTCCCTCGGGGCTCCCCACCACCACCACGGGCGCTCATGGTGCTGGCGCCGCGGACGGGAACTCGCTGGGGTCAATTCAAGTCATGCAGGCGGTAAAGAGCGCGGGGTCTCGGCTCCTGAGGTCATGGGCTTGGCCGCCCACGGGCAGGTAAGAGTGATCGCCCCTCCGAACCCACAGCCGCCTCCAGGGTATACGCTCCTGCTCCCGACCCGGGAGCCACGGGGACTCCGGCGGGCGGCAGGCCCGGGGACCTCAGCGAGCTGTGGGTCCCTGCAGGATAGCGGCCCGGGTGCCGGCCGCCGCCATCCACACGGGCGCCCAGCGGCTGCAGGACGCGGCGGCCACGCAGAAGGTGGAGGAGAAGACGGCGGCCCCGACCCCAACTCCGGCTCCGGCGGCGACCCCGGCTCCGAGCAGCAGCAGTTCCAGGTGAGCACGGCCGCTTCGGTCCAGCCCTCCCGAGGCCCGCACCGCCCTCCAGAGCCCGGGAACCGGTGAATTCCCAGCTCTGTCACTTGCCATCTGTGCCACTTTATGGGAATGAACCTCTAAGCCTCCGTTTTCTCGACTACAAATAGGGTAAAGTGCCGGCAGAGATTGTGAGAATCAAAGGAGATGAGACTTAGCACAAAGTGGATGCTTGGTGAGCGTGGGATGAATGAATGAGTGGATGTCAGAGGCGCACAGTCAGATCAGCTCTCTCCGCCTCTGAGAAGGGAGCGCAGGTCGCACAGATTAAGCAAAATGGGAAGAGACAGGGCGCTACTCTATGGTGTTGATGATTCTACACTTTGGGTCTAAGATTGAGGGAGATTCCGTGCTCAGCCCTAGGGACTTGCATCCCACCGCTGCCACCACCTCCGTGTGCTAGGTGCACTTCACATCCACTTAACAAGCATTTACTGAGAACCTACTATGTGCCACGCACCCATACCGATACAAAACACCGCTCCTCCCCACAGCAGGGGGGACAGACCTGCAAAGGTCTTCACCAGAATCTGATGAGTGACAGGCGGGAGGTGAGAGCTGGCTGCAGGGAAGTGTGAAGGAATTCGTGTCTAGCTCCTGAGTGTATCGGGTGCGACGGCAGAGAAGGAAGTGTGGAGCTGACACCTGCACCGAATGGGAGTTCAGCTGGGCAAGATGAAAGGGGTTGTTTTAGGCAGAGCTCACAGGGCATGTGTGTAAAGGCATGTGGTGTGAAAGAACATGGGATGTTCAGGTGTGTACGTGTGATGGCAGATGAGGCCAGCAAGACAAGACAGCAAATATAAAACAAAACCTGGGAGTATGACAGACGGCAGGAGTGTCTCCGGTGATTATAAGCAGTACAACCAACGTGGAGGGAGGAGTGAAAATAGGAGGTGCAAGCAGAGAGGCCAGCAGTGTCGTGGGCACACGGGGCTGCCTGAGGTCATCGTCCGGACTTCAGCTTTTACTCCGATGGGATGGGAAGCCACTGGAGAGATGTGAAGAGGGTTGACGCAATCATGCTTACATTTTTTAAAGAGTCCCTTTGGCTGTTGTGTTGACATTGAGCTGTAGGGAAGCAAGAATTCTAAGCACTCAGACCATTGAAATAATCCAGGCAAGAGATGATGGTGGTGTGGACCAGAGTGACAGCTGTGAAGGTTGTATGAATGAATGGTTGGACTGGTTCATTTAGAAAGTAGAGCCAATGTGGTTTATTAATGTGAGGTGTGAAAAAAAAAAAAAGGAGAGGAATGGAGGAACGCTCTCAAATTTGGGGCCTACACAACTAGGAAGATGGAGTTGTAAAGACAGGGAAGACTACAGGAGCCTGGGACTGGATGGCTAAGCTGGAGATACTTAATTAACATCCAAGTGGAGATGGGAAGTTGGCTGTTAGACATGGAGGGGACACACATACATGTGACACACGCGCCAGAGATGATGATGAGACAAGATCATCAAGAGAGGAAGAGAAGTTCAAGAGTAGTCCAAGGACTGAACCCTCCAGCCCTTTGACATTTAGCAATTTGGCAGGTGAGGAAGGAATCAGTGAGAGAGACAGAAAACAGGTAGTGGATCAATGATCTCATCATTGATGTTTCCATCTCTCTCCTCCCTTCTTCTCTGAAATCAATAGAAATAGATTTAAAGAGAGAGGGGTATTGGGGGGAAAACCTGGAGAGATTTTTTTTTTTTTTATGTGGTTCAAGTGCAAAGGTCAGTTATGTCAAATGCTGCCGATACGACAGGTTGATAGGCTGAAGACCAACTTGCTCCTTGCAATTAACTCTGTAAGTTGTTCAGTGACCTTGAGCTCAGCATTTTTTGGGGGGGTGATGGGGGCTGAAACCTGACTGGAGTGGGTTCAAGGAGCATAGAAGACGGGAAGGAATAGCAGGCACCTGTTAGATCTGCTGTAAGGGTCACAGAGAAATGGCAATAGCTCAAGGAGGCTTGTGGAGCGAGGGGTCCTTGTTGCTTTTCGGTGGGGGGAAGGCAGCCTCTTTTGCTGATGGGCGTGATGCAGCGAAGGGGAAAGAGCGATGAAGCCGGGGCGGAAAGCTGCCGGAGAGATGTCCTTGAGAGGCGCACACACAAGCGAAGCATCGAAACCGGAGAGAATGCAAAGCCCGCGGGCACAGATGTTTGCAACGGGAGCTGGAGGGAACTCTGATTGCTTCCATTCCTCCCTGAAGGCCATCAGCTCTCAGCGAGGGAGCAGGTTGGGGGAGACAAAAGAAGGTATGAGGCAGTCATCTGGGAGACCGGAGGGACGATTGAGGGGGGATGTGCTGTATGATTGCCAAGCAGAGCTGAGGGCCCACTTATGTCAGAAGCCATTAAAATAAAGAATGGCTCTCAACCTGGGGCCGTTTTGCCACCAAGGGGACTTTTAGCAATGTCTGCAGACATTTTTGATTGTCACAACACGGGATGCAGAACAGCCCCCCCCCCCACAACAATGAATGATCTTATTCAAAATGTCAGTGGTGCTGAGGCTAAGAAACATGACCTAAGGAGGCCAGTCAGCATTGCTGTATATTTTTTTCCAGCCCACTGTGCATGCACAGGCTCAGAGTAGCTGGAGAGATGGCTTTAACCAGGGTTAGGGGTTTACCAGGAGTGCCATGAAGTGGGTAGGGGTGAGGGGTGGGCACTGAGGGTGTGTGCAAGGGAGTGGTTATAATGACTGGCCATATAAGTTACCTGAGGGCAGAACGGAAAGCATCAGGGGTGTCAGGGAAAGGCAGAAGCTGGCAGGATGGGTGGCACTGAAGAGTTTCCATGGAGACCCAGTGTGTGCGCCAGGAGGTGGCGGCCAGCGTGTGATGCTAGGAACCCAGGTTGCGATGGGGTTTGCAGGTTTGGTAATGACAGGGCTAGTTCCCGCGGGAGTAAGTAGCCGGGGTAGGATGGAGGACACAGCATCACGGGAGAAAGGGAAATCAAGAAACAGAAGCCACGGGTTGGAAGGCTCTTACTGAAAACGTACATAATTATGGCAGGAGGAGTGGGCCGTGAGCTCCGATCACTGCATTTTTCTACATCACTGCATTTTTCTACATCCGTCTCCGTTTCTAAGAGCCGACAGCGCAGGTGGGAAACGGGTTGAAGACCCTGAGACAGGGCCTCCGCCTTTAGGGCGCAGAGCTGAAACGTACCCAGAGGAGATTCCCGGGGCCACATGTGTCAGGGCCCCGGGGCTGGACTGGCCCAGGGATCAGCAGGGAAAGAACCCTCAGCGGGAAAGGCGGCTGATGTCCGTCCGCAGCCCTGCAGAAGCGATGCCACGTGCGCTGGCCCTGGTCTAGGTGTCCATGGTCTGAGGATGGCTGTGAAGAGGCGGCAGCCCGTCCCTGCTTCCGTGCGGTGAACCACCGGTTCAATTGTCATTGGTCCTGGGAGGTTTCAAGGCCGACCTTATCCACGCCTTCACTTAATGGCTCGAGTTCCAAGTCCTTGCTGGTTCACAGACCTGTCTTTCTGCAAAAGGCCGTGGTCGGCAAACCGGCTCGCAAGCCGCATGCGGCTCTTTGGCCCCTTGAGTGTGGCTCTTCCACAAAGTACCACGGCCTGGGCGAGTCTAAGAAGTGGCGTTAGAAGGAGTTTAAGTTTAAAAAATGTGGCTCTCCAAAGAAATTCCAGTCGTTGTCCTGTTGCTATTTGGCTCTGTGGACTCATGAGTTTGCCGACCGCTGGCATAAGGCATCGCACTGGTCCATTCAGTCTTTAGTCGGCTTAATTGTCTTCACTCCCATGTCCATGGGGGAATTTTATCAATGGGGGAAGCGGTGATGTTTTAAACATGAATGTCATCTCGGCCTCATCCGTGTGTGTAGGCTGATAAGCCAGGAACCTGCTGAGGTGCTCAATCATCTCTCAAGATCAGGCCTAGCAGGAGAGAATTCACTTGTAACTCTTGTATGACTGTGGGTTTTGTTTTTTAAAAATATCTCTAGGGAAGTGGGTAGGGCTGAGGGGAGGACTGTTCTCAGATAAGTGTGTATTTTCTAAACCTAAATCTGTTGAATTTCATGGCAGGAGCAGGTACAGACAGAGACCTGATGTGCACGTGTAGGCAGGGGGCAGCAGCAGGTGTATTCACATCTCCAGGGCTTGATGACATCTGTGTGTGTGTGTGTGTGTGTGTGTGTGTGTGTGTGTAAAAGAGAGCACAGCATGATAAGCAAAGCTCTGAACAGTTCCCAGAGAACCCTGTGTCCCTGTTCCTACCACGGTTTCTCCATTTGAAAAGGAGTGCTGACCTAGGGCAGCCAGAGAACAGGCTGGGCTGAGATCGCAAAAGATCGTGAACTCATTGCAGTGTCTGGGCCAGTGTTCTCGGCCCCGGGCTCACCTGGGATTGGCCTGGGGCGTTGTAGAGATAAGATTCCCAGGTCTACTGTCACAGTAATAGGTGCTTCTGCTGTTCACAGAGCAAACCATTGGTCTAGGGTAGGGGTTGCAAACTACATTCCCTGGGCCAGATCTGGCCAGTTGCAATAAAGTTTTATTGGGACAGCGACGCACATTGAGTCACTGTTGTCCTACATCCAGCTGTTTTTTTGCGCTACAAAACCTCATGGGCAACAAAGCCTGGAATATTTACTCCCTGGCCCTTCACAGAAAAAGTCTGCTGACCTCTATTCTAAGGGATATCGGATTTTTTTTGTAGTAATGATAAGTATTACTAATGTTTTGTTGCCCTTTTTTTATAGAGTCAAATGCCATCTGCAGGTGATGAAATAATAGGGGTTTAACTGTATTTTTAAGTTGCAGAAAGCGGATCCTACAAAGGATTGAAAGTCCTGGTCTGCTTGCACCAGGAGGGACAAGACGGGCGGGAGGATGGGTTGTATCTCAGGGGCAGGTCGGGGGCTGCTGCTTTCATTGAGTTTGTCTGCACTGCTGGGTTATTCTCAACTCTGGGGTAGATTTGACTTTAAAAAATATAAGGACAACTTTCCATGAAATGTTCTCATTGCAGCATCTACCCGCCAGTTCCCGGCCAGGAGAGCCCCCTGCGGTGGGCGGGGAAGAAGTTTGAGGAGATTCCCATCGCCCACATTAAGGCCTCCTACAACAAGTGAGTGGGCAGGGGGGCACAGGGGCAGGTCTGGGGGGTTCCTCTCCCCTCCGCAGGGAGGGCAAGGTGGTGTCCGTGCACGTGACCCCCAGGCCCCCTCCTCTTTATGACGTTCGCTCAGATTTCATGAAAATGTCAGCTGGCTTGGGCGTATCCTATTGCTGAGATTTGCTTTCCTGCAAACGGGTCTGAGGTCAGGGTGCCAGCATGGTGGGTTCTGGGGAGGGCCGGCTTCTCGTGGTGCCCTCACACGGTGGGTGGGAGGGGCGAGGGAGCGCTCCGGAGTCCCTCTATAAGGGCACTAATCCCATTCATGAGGGCGCCACCCTCACGACCTAATCACCTCCTGAAGGCCCCACCTCCAAACACCATACTATTCGGGGTTAGGAATTCAACGTGAACGTGGGGGACACATACATTCGGTCCATAACAGAGCTCCCTAGACACATGACCTGTCTGTCAGTTTTCAGTGTCCTTAGGGGGCTGCCTCTGACCCTCCCCGGCGCCCCCTATGAGAGTTCAAACAGCACGTTACCGGCTCCGTTCCGAGGAAAAGCAGCTGGCTTGCCTTCTCCCTCGGGCACGTGAGGACATAGGCTGGCGCTCTCTCAAGCCCCTTTTCCCTTCTGTGCCTCGCCGGCTCTCCCAGCACCCAGATCCAGGTCCTCTCCGCCGCCAACCAGCCCCTTGCCCGCGCCTCCTGCGGCACCGAGGGGTTCAAGAACGCCAAGAAGGGCACGGGCATCGCGGCACAGACAGCGGGCATCGCTGCCGCGGCGGTAAGTGCTGGGGGGTGGGGAGGGGGTGGCAGTCCCTGGGAAGGCGTGGTGTGGTGAAACCCTCAACGCAGGGCGCGCCTGAGCCTGCACGTGGCAGACCTTTCTGGACGCAGATTGGCAGTGTGCCGCTGCTGGTGCGTTTATGACCATCACTGCGAGTACTGCAGACACTGGGCACTCGTTACCGTGAGTCTTCAGACGCCGGCACTGTCCGTGTTTTGAGCCAGTTCAGACAGACTATGACTCGCTCAGAGCCACACAGTCGCGTTAGCTCCCCGCTGTGGTCTGGGACCAAAGCTTGTGCCCAGGGGGGCAGTGGCACAGGCCTCCAGAGGGTCACACGCTTCTGCCAAAACACAGGTATTTGCTGAAGGAAAACCCTGGCCTGCACACGGCCACTGGCTGCTCTGCAGCAATGAGCCTCAGCGGGTGCTCACGTCCACCCAGGAGCAGGTTAGACCCTTGGAAGACACGGGTCAGGGTTAACAGTGGCGTCTGCGGGATGGGTGCGGTGACAACTGCATGTTTCTGGGCTTTCCGTCAGATGCCTTTGTCATCAGTGAAGAAAAGTGTAACTTTCACTAAAGATGTAAAATGGTAAGAGGACACTGGCTTAGTGGGTGTCGAAGCTCTGCCTGCAGGTCCCGGGCTCCTGGGGGCCTGAGATTCTGCGTCCACCCTCCTGAGGCCCATCGGAGTGATGGTTAGAAGCTCCACTAGGTGGCAGTGCAGTCCTGGGCGAAAGGCGGTCATGGCTGACTGGCAGTCTGTGTCTCGAGTGTTGTCTGCCCGCACTCAGGCCATCGGTCCTGTGACCTTGCTGTCTTCTGTTTGCATTTGGGGTGCCTTCTCCCTGGAGCTCTTGCCCTGCAGCCCCAGGGGCAGGAGCTGAGACGTGGCTGTAGCAGCTCCTGCTAGGCACTAACCACTTGTCTCTCCTCCAGAAAGCCACAGCGAAGGGCGTGACCCACATCCGCGTGGTGGTGAAGGGCCTGGGGCCGGGGCGCTTGGTAAGTGGCGGTGATTGTTTCTGTGGGAAAAGGGCTGGAGGGCAGGGTGGGCGAGGGCTTGGCTTCCTGTTACAATCTGCTGAGCCGGAAGGCAAGCCCAGGCCGCTTAGCTGAGCTCCGCAGACATTCACCAGGTGGCTGCTGGGTGCCAGGCCAGGGGGACAAAAAGGTGGGCCCTGGGGCCATCACAGATGGGACTCTCAGGACAGACGAGTGGCTGCACAGTAAAGCTTGTGCCCCAGGGGCTGGGAGCCCCCCAAAGAGGTGACAGCTCTGACTTTCCAAGAGTAGCGTGGCACTGTCCGGGTGAGGGGACATTCCAGGCAGAGGAAACAACTTGGTTGTTAAAGCCTCTATAGTGTGAGTCTGAGTGCGGGTCACAGGCAGCCTGTGGGTGTAGATGGCAGAGCGTACGCAGGCGGAGCGACAGGTGTGGCCACAGCGGGCAGCACTGAGCCCCTGGCAAGGGGCTTGGCTGCGAGGCCTTCGTGAGTAGCTATCAAAAGCCAGGAACCGCTCCACTCTCCTCCCACCCCCATCCTCCTCGCCCCTTCTTGAGTCCAAGCCCTGCCTGGGCCCACTGGGCCATCACTTCCGGCACCAAGCCGTCCTCCCGTCCTCTGCTCCTCCCAGTCCGCCATCCAGGGCCTGACCATGGGGGGCCTGGAAGTGATCTCCATCACAGACAACACCCCCATCCCGCACAACGGCTGCCGCCCCCGGAAGGCTCGCCGGCTCTGATGGGAGGAACCTGACCCTGACCCTGACCCTGAGGCCCTCCTCCAGACCTGCAGAGAGCACCCCCCCCCCCCCCGGAGCTCCCTGCGAGCGCTGTTGGCGATGCTCAGCAGGAAGGGACAGCGCTGTCTCCTCACGTGGCGCCTATTCCGACTGGACACCCGCGCGCCCATCTTCTCTTGGACACGGGGAGGGGGGCTGTGGCCCAGACCCCAACCAGTAACTGCTGCCCCGCCTAAAGCAATAAAAGATCTCTGCCATCCGAAGTGATTGTCAGACTTTTGCTTCCAGGCTGGCAAACCGTAGCCCCACGTGCTCCTGAGAAAGGTTAGGAATTGAGATGAAAGGTTTAGGAATTGAGGTGGAAGGCTGACCCATAAACCGGCCGCCACTCCGGGAGACCGGCCCGCAGGAAGGCTGACCATTCAGCCGTCTCGTTTCCCTGGAAGCCAGCCGCCACCTGCTGCCTCTGCCCCTCTCAGCAGCCCGGGTGCCCGGGACACAGGTGGGCCGTGTGCTCGCCCGCCCCGCAGGCAGAGAAGAGGCAGAGCCGAGAGCATGGGCACGAGCCAAGTGTCGGCACAGCTTGTGTGGCACGCTTCCTTGTTTCCTGGCAGCGGGTGCTGGATCACTTCTAAGTGCATCTGCAGTTTTGCTTCTGGCAGCTCCAAGCTGGTGGCACAGGCCTGGCTGCATAAGGGCAGCTTCCCCTCCCCTCATCACCCCTCTCCTTCCCTCCCCTCCCCTGTCCTCAGGCAAAAAGACAAATACAGTGTCTTCCCTTTCGGCGCAGATGCAATGTTTTCCCTTATTTAGCCAAGCCATTGCCTGGCACCAAGTGCCAAACAGGCCTGTTGAACACGGATGCGGGCAGAATGTCACTCGGCATGCGAAGAGAAACCATTCCCAATCGCCCCTGCCTACAACCTGGCACCATGTCCGTTGCTCAATGGTTGAGTGTCAGCCTAGGAACCAGAAGGTCCCAGTTCGCTCCCCCTGCCAGGGCACATGTCTGGGTTACAGGCTTGATCCCCAGTAGGGGGCGTGCAGGAGGCAGCCGATCCATGATTCTCATCATTGATGTTTCTCTCTCTCTCCCTCTCCCTTCCTCTCTGAAATCAGTAACAATATATTTAAGAAAGAAGAAGAAGAAAATAAAAAAAGTATGGCTCCTTTCCCCTGGGCCCCCTTATTCTCTTCCTCTGTTCATTTTTCCTCTCTTCTGGATACACACATTGTTTTTGAAACCTGAGTATTATCAGCCCAAAGAGATAGTGCGGTCCCGGCCACAGCAGAAATTGCCTATTCGACCAGACTGAGCAAACACAGGGGGACTGAGCAAACAGGCCGGGCCCCGGGGGACAGGCAGCTGTGACTGTCACTGCTCCCCCCAGGCCCTCGGTCTAAGGAAGCTGGCGGGTCAGTGAGAAGGTCCGTGAAGGAGGCGTGAGTGCTCCCGGTGTCAGAGGGAAGGGTGCTCCCCGCAGCGGAAGGGACAGAAGGGAAGCTTTGTGGAGCAGGGGGAGGCGAGACAAGTAAATGAACCAATGGGTGTCCTTAGAGGTTGGAAATGCAAACCATGAAGATGCCATCTTACTAGGGAATTAAAATGCATGACCATCACTTCCCAAACAATGCTAATGAATCGAAGCCACGGTGGGGGTGAGGTCGCTCAGGAAAAAAGCAGACAGCGAGGAAGAGGGAAAAAAGACCGGGTTGTAAATGCTGCAAGCACGAGGCTGCAAAGGACGTGGGTGGGGCGGTGAGATTGCAGGCGCGGTGTCTCGGACGCCAACCAGACAAGCACTTTGAGAAGGGGCAGCCCTAGCCAGTTTGGCTCAGTGGATAGAGTGTCGGCCTGCGGGTCGACAGGTTCGATTCCCCGTCAGTGCACATCCCAGGTTTCCGGATCGACCCCCCAGTGGGGGGCTTGCAGGAGGCAGTCGATCCATGATTCTCTCATTGATGTTTCTATCTCGCTCCCCCTCTCCCTTCCTTTCTGAAAGCAATAAAAATATATCTTAAAAAAACAAAATATATAAAAATAGGAAAAAGAACTGGCTTATAAAACTGTACGGAAGCGGCAGCCAGGCCTTATGTACGTTACGGAAGCGTGCACCTAGTGGAACAGCCATCTGACCACGTGGACCCTGCACAGTCCCCCCTGCCCCGAGGGTGGTCTGCTATTTGGGGGCGGACTCTGACCTGGCTCGGAAATTGGTTCTGGCAGTTAATCTGGCTCTTCCCCGCGCCCACCCAGGTTAAAATTAAATTGTGCACATGCTCTGCGGTTCAGCACAGCGAGCCTTGCCGGGAAGGCCAGCCTCGGTGTCAGGACAGCTGGCTGGAGGGAGGGAGGGGCAGACAGCGGGGCTGTTTCCATAGAGCCCCGGGGCCGCTTAGCCACCTCGGATTTGTGTAATCCCCTTGAACCGGAGGAAATGTCAACTGAGGGTCAGCCTGGTGTCCGGGGCCTGGCCAGCAGACACCTGCTGTCTAGACGCAGGTGAGCAGACTCGGTGCGCAGGCTGTCCTGGGCCACATGCCCCTCCCAAACCGGACCTCAGTTTCCCCTCAGGACAGAGGCAGTGGGTGAGCTGGGGCTCTGGCACTCAGGAATGAGGGCGCGCCGCTCATTTGTGGCTGGGAGGACAGTCCAGGTTCTCACGTATGAGTGACTGCAGTAGGGGAGACCCTCAGGGGGTGGGACAGAGGTCTGATCGGCTGCCTCCTGCACACACCCTGTGCCCATGCCACGGCTCCCCGGCGGCCCCTCCCTTCCAGTCTGCTTGGGGGTGAGGGCTGGGGTGGAGACACAGCCTGGGTACCCCAGCTCTGCGTGGACCTGTACCTCAACCACCCCCACCTCCGCGGCCCGTTAGTCATCTGTTAGGATAACTGTGTACCCTGCTGTATACAGCTGGTGCTCACCCAGGGTGCCGCTCACACTGCTCCTCGGGCACCTGCGGGGACAGAGTGTGTGAATGCAGACGCACACCCATCTCGCTGCTATTGCTGCTGCTGTTAGTACTATGACTACTATTAAAAGCTCATTTTCCCTGTGGTTTTAATCAGAAAATGATAACCTAAGAGCCAGTCACCCATCCTCCTTCCATCTTCTTGGCCAGCCAACTGCAGATTAAGCCAGATGGTTAAAATCGGCAGCCAAAAAAGTTAAGTTTAAAAAGCCCAATGACTCAAGAAGCATCCCTCGGGAGTCTTTCTCACCTTCCTCCTTCCTCAAAAATCTATTGACACTCAAAGAAAATACGTCTAAAACCTGGTGACTGCCCTGAGCATCTTCAAGACGAATGGGGAGAGGACATTTTTTTTTTAAACTCCATTTGAATGCTACCAGTGCTAACACAGAACGAGGGCTTCTGCGTGTGCGTGTGTGTGTGTGTGTGTGTGTGTGTGAGAGAGAGAGAGAAAGAGAGAGAGAGAGAGAGAGAGAGAGAGAGAGAGAGAGAGAGAGAGAGAGAGAGAAGGTGTGAGGAGAGGTATAGAGGTATCAAAGAGCACTTCTCAGAGGAGGTGACACCTGAGCTCAAAATAAGAGGAGGTAGCGGTGAGGGCCCAGGGCGATGTGGGGGGTGAGGGTAGGGGGGCGGGGGCATGGACAAAGGGTGGATGCAGAAACGGCGCAGACGGCGCAGACAGTGCAGTGACCTGCATGCAAACGGCATGATGTGAAGCCAGGCGACCGGACAGGCAGGATCACGGCCCCCAAAGATGTCAGACCCTAACCTGGAACCTGCACACGCCGCCCTCTGTGCAAACGGGGTCTCTGCCCACGTGTTGAAGGCCAGGTCCTTAAAATGGGGAGGTTACCCTGGATCACCTGGGGGGACCCTACAGGAGATCGCATGCGTCCTCACGAAGTGGAGGCAGCAGGTCTGCCCGCACTGACAGAGGCGGCGGCCATGGGACCCCGCGGGCAGAGATGAGGTGCTGGAGCCACAGCCGAGGGCCGCCTGCAGCCGCCAGGAGCTGCAGAGACAGGAGCAGAGATGCCGAGACGAGGGAGGAGAGGCAGGCGGACTGTGGGGCAGGGCCAGCCCGAGAGAGGTTTAGGAGGTGAAACCGCCCTATTTTGTGGTTGTTTTTGTTTGCGACTGCTTTTTGGTTGAAGAGGGCCAAGGAATGTCTAACATCGGGGATTTAGAGCCCGCACAACAGCACTCAGATTAACTGGGTCACCACATGGGCTCGCAGCCAAGACACAGCGAGCAGAGGGCAGGCCCACGGCCTCCTCCCCCCCATCCCCACCCCCGCCCCCTGGACATAAGCAGCTCTGGGCGCCCCCGAGTGAGGAACAAGTCTGGGAAACATGCTGAACTTGGAGCACTGACGGCATCCGACTGTATTTTTCTCCTGTCACTGCCTTAGATCAACTTGTCTGATCGCCCTGTCTATCTCCCCGAATCTCCATCTCGGGCAGAGTCCGTGGCAGGAAACGGACAGGATGAGATGAAACCCTGAGCCCCAAAGCCAGGGGGGACAGAAGCCACGGGGGAAGCGCCCGGAGAACACACCAGCTGCAGGCTCGGTGCCCAGCACCCGAGTCTCACACCTTCCTTTCCAGAAGGCGGAGGTTCGCAGCATCTGGAAGAAGCTCATGGGCCGAGGGCCCTGGGAGGTGGGAGATTCCAGAGCCTGGGATGGTCCTTCACCGCCTGTCGCCATGGGGACGGGGATTAACAAGCTCTAAGCTCCCGGGGCCTGGGGGCGCGGGGAGGGCCAGTCAGAAGGGCCCACTGCGTGTCTCCACCGCGGTTGCTAAGTACACCTAATCCAGCTGTCACCGGGCACCCACCCTCCTCGGCAAACAACAGCTGGTCAGGGCTGGGCCCGCGGCTGTCCATCTGCCACCAGCCCGCCCCGGCCAGCGCTGCGCTGTCTCTCTGACGGCCCTTATCCCACGGGCCATCGCCCCTGTTCCCGCCGGCGTGGCTCAGGCGGGGATTTTCCTTCCCGCCCACCTGGCCGCGGCGGGCCCTGGGAGTCCCAGATATGCCGTCTGCCCTCCGCGGTCCCTGGTCCTTCCCCGGGCCCTCGCCGGGCTGCGCGGCGGGCTCTGAGGTCTGACGTGAGCTGGTCCCTCTGTGCCTGAGCCCCTTCTCGTGTGTCATGTGTGAGATGGAGACCACCACCTTTCTCTTCTCGCGGCGCACGTGAATTACTAAAATCCTGGAGCACAGCAAAAAGGGCCTCTTAAAATAAGGTTTCCCACCCTGGCCGGTGTGGCTCCATAGATAGAGCATCATCGGCCTGCGGACTGAAGGGTCCCGGGCTCGATTCCGGTCAAGGGCATGGACCTCGGTTGCAGGCACATCCCCAGTAGGGGGAGTGCAGGAGGCAGCTGGTCGATGTTTCTCTCTCATCGATGTTTCTAACTCTCTATCCCTCTCCCTTCCTCTCTGAAAAAATCAAAATTATTAAAAATAATAATAATAAAAAGGCTTTCCTTCCCCCTTGTCCAAACCAGAGTGGCCCAGGGCCCCTCTGGGCCACTCTGGTTTGGACAAGGGGGAAGGAAAGCCTTATTACCCCCCGCCCCACACACACACACACACCCGTGTTCTGAGGGGCAGGCTCTGCCTCCTATGGGGCGAGACTCTTCCCTCGCTGCACCCCATCCCAGCGGACTGCCCTGGACCAGGCTGCTCTGTCTGTGTTGCAGCTGGCGGCACTCCTTCTGCCTGCTCTAACCATGAACTTGAAGGAGAGGGGTGGGAAGGGAGTTCAAAGCTCTTGAGGCTTCAGTACCGGGTCTGGCTTTGCAGGACTAACAGATCACTCACTCCCTCTGGAAAATCAGCCCTGGATCCGGGGTCCCCTCCACATACAGCCCCCTCCACCCCCCCCCCGGCTGTGACAGCAGGTGGGCCGGTCGCCCCCCTCGCCTGGAGAGAAGCAATCAGATGTGAGTGCCGCATGTTGCTAGGAAGCAAGCGGCAGCAGCTGGCGGAGAAATAAGTCGTGTGCCTGGGAAAGCATGTTCCTGGCCGCTAATTAAATGTTGCCGGAGCGTCTCTTCCTTCGGGGAGCTATAGAAATGTGCCGAATTAATGCGGGCAGGAGCAGGCAGGGCGCAGCAGGTCCACCCGCCTGCCCGGCCCCCCTGCCTGAGCACAGGCAAGGCTCAGGGGGGCCGGGATGGAATGGCTCAGCCCCAGGGAGGCTGGTGAAGTCAAAACCTTGGCCTCAGACTACTCAGCTCCACAGGCCCACAGCGCCTGCCTACCCCGCCTCCACGGCCACGGGGGAGGACACTGGGTAACTACGTTTTAAAGCTCAGGAAAGCCCATTTCCGGGTGTGTCTCCAGAAGCAACAGAAGGATCTCTGAGGAGCATCCGCACACCCGTGTTTACAGAAACACTCGTCACAACAGTCAAGGAGTGGAAGCCACCGGATGCCCTTTGACGGACGAATGGGGAAACAGAACGCAATCCTGTGCACAATGAGATGTGACTCTGCCTCTAAAGGGAAGGGAGTTCTGACCCCTGAGGGCCTCATGCTCAGTGGTTAGTGAGCTAGACCAAAGGAGACAAGAGCTGTGTGACTCCCGCTTCCCACGCAGCCGAATGCGTGGAAGCAGAAGGCAGAAGGGCGGTTACCAGGGGCTGGGCAGAGGCCAATGGGGAGTTGTTTCTGGGTCCAGTTTCGCGTCTGCAGGATGAAAAAGCTGTAGGGATTCCTTGCTAACCATGGGAATATACTTAACACTAGTATTAATTACGTTAATACTAGTGTTAAGTATTAATAAGACTAAGCTCTCATCATCGATGTTTCTCTCTCTCTCTCTCTCCCCCTCTGAAATGAATAAAACAAAATAAAAACGCATCTCCGTATTGGTGATCGGACGCGTCTCCCCATGTGAGCTGCACAGCACAGTTCCGGGCCATCGCGTGCTCCTAATAAATTTTCACAACCAACGACAACCGGCTCTCAGCAAACAAAGCTCCAGCCGGCCAACGTGTCTGGCTTCAAAGAGGGACAGGGATGCTCTGGTTGCCTCACGCCTGGGCCAAGAGATCTGGAGGGGAGAAGGCGGCCGCTAGCGTTCATGGAGTCCTCGCTGTATATCGGGCTTCCGTGAACACTCACTCAGTGCCCACGTCTCCCTGGGCAACGCAGAAGCCGTCCCCTTTCTCCGAGGAGAAACTGAGTCTCGGTGAAGTCCTTGGGACCCGGCTGGCAGGCGAGGGAGCCCGAGGCGTTCCCATAATCCCGCCCGTTGGACACGCTGGGCAAAGCACCCGGGGCCCGCCCTGCCTCCTGCATCCTGCCTGCCTCCGAATCAGCTGCTGCGTGGTGGAGGCTTCGGGGTTGTGTCTCTTTAAAAACAACAGAGAGCGATAGCTATAAAGGGTACCCACCGAGCAGATGAATGCTGTAAACAAAATTGCCCCCTGGAACATCCAAATCGCTTAATGCGCTCCGTCGCTCTCCGAGCACGCGCTGCAGAGGGCCGTTATGCTGATTACCAATAATTATAATCGCCTCGTTAAGGAGCGTCCCGAGGGCCTCCGCAGAGGCACACGCGTGGCTGCGACGCAGTGACTCTGTGTACTTGAACATAATGAAGCTGCCGTTCTTTTAAGAATTATCTCATTTAGGGTCCTCGCTGATGTATGCCGTGCTTCTCTGCGAGGCCTCTGAATGGCAGGGCTCCTGCTGGATTTAAAGGGACCCTCTCTCTCAAAGGTCCCGAGTTCCTTCGCGCGGGTCACACGGGCATGTCAGCTCCCCAAAGAGCAAGGGCGAGCTGAGAGGGGGTTCGGGGAAGAATTCAGATCTGGAAGAGCTATTCCCCCAATCTTACTGCTTTTCTTAAACATTCCGGTCCTCTGCCCCGGCTCACATGTCCCACGCCCATTTCTCCAGTGCCGGCACCCCGTCCCCAGCACAGCTGTCCCCACCTCGTCCTCATTCCCTCCGCTGTTCCTACACACACAGCACTGGAGCTTCCGCTGGTTTGCCCCGTAATCCCCTTCCTCTGCCTGTTTCTCTCCTCGGCATCCTGACCCAGCACCTCTGGACTCACAGCAGGTGAGCGCAGGTGCTCAGAGCCTGTGACGAGTCCTACACGACAACGGTGACATCAGCCACAATGCGTGGATGGGGCTTGGCGTCTCCTCTCCCATCCCTGTCCCCAGGGCAGTCCGTGTGGCTGGGGAAGGGTGCAGGACCAGCTGTCTGCCGCCATGGCTCCTTCCAAAGCCCCCTTTGCCCTCAGGTGCCACCAGGCGAGCTTGCTAGGTGAACGGCGGGCACATTATCAAAGACGAAGCCTAACAGCCTGACAAAGCCCTCTGGAGGAGACAGCTGAGGCTGTGACAGCGGCTGCGGGCCGGCAGGTGTTTGCAGGACAGCTGTGACGGCTCAGCCAGCCAGCCAGCCAGCCTGATCCCTCTAGGGACAACGGGCGCTTGCCAGCTCCAACTACCCCAACCGCAGTACGTGCTCAACAGCGCCCGTCTCTGCGGCGGCCGCAGAGCCGCCCCCGCTGCCACCTGCACGGCGCAGACGGGCACATGCTTCCAGGCGAGAATGTGCAATTACGCCCGGCCCCTCCAGCTGCAGCAGCTCCCAGGGGGGAGCCCGAGGGTGGGAAGCGATCCTGGCAGATGACTGTCTGCCATGCTGGCACACACACTCAGCTCTCCCAGGAGCAGCTGCTGGAGCCGGGGCTTCTGGGCCTGTCGCGGTCCTTCCTGGGACCCGCGTGTTTGGAAAGCATTTGGGGAGATCAGAACATAAGGCGGCCATCAGACAGGATGTATTTACGTAAGAAAATACCAAGGCTTTATTCCGTCTCCTTATAAAGATAGCCCTGCTTGCTGGCTGCGTAGAAAGGGTGCACGGAGTTCTCGTGAGTCGACGGGAGTTACCCGCTACCGAATGCACACGTAATGCCGAGGAAGGGGTGTACGAAGGGGGTAATGCTCTCATCGTCACAGCAATGAAATGCAAATGAAGACAAAAATGACTGAACTTGATGAGTGCTGGACATTCCCACAGGGAAAAGCAAGAGGGCTCCGAGACAATCAGTAGTTCTTTCTGGACACGATGGACTTCTGACAGGCTGAGCTGCACGCACTGCCCTCTCGACCCGCCCCATCTGAGGGGCACGGCCCGTCTGGAGCCCAGGGCTGCTGGGCGGGAGCCTGTGCGTGCGTCCAGGGCAGGGAGGGAGCGTCTCGGAAGGCCGGAGAGCCCGGCTGAGGAGGCCCTACGTGCAGCAATGCCGCATGTGGAAGTTGACGACGTACTCGGCGTTAGTCCTCTGCACAGAAATGGCAAAAGGCTCAAAGGGGTGGAACGTGAAGGCCACGAGGCGGCGCACTGTGTGGTTGATGGGGCGGCCCAGTAAGCCCGCCTGGATCTCAAATTTGAGCAGACCCGAGTCCCGAGCATAGAACCTAGACAGAGAGAGAGAGAGAGAGAGAAAGACAGAGAGGACAGTGTCGATACTCACCACCACCTTGAGAGGTGCAGAGCAGGGGAACTCCCTTACCCCAGCCCCAGCACGTCAGAATTGCAAAGTCACCTTCAGCTAGTCAGCTCATGGTAGGGCAGGGAGATCACAAATTTTACTATGTTGTCCTAAGCCAATAGGTCGCTTCTCTTTCCCAAGACAGCCCTTAACTACAGCCTCAATTACAGCCTTCCCCTTTCCCAAGCTATCTCCCCCAAAACTGTCTAAGCAAGGGCTAGAAATGAAATGTGAGCCATGAGCCCTGGCCGGTGTGGCTAAGTGGATAGAGCATCAGCCTGTGGACTGAAAGGTCACAGGTTCTGCAACCTGGGTTGCAGGCACATCCCCAGTAGGGGGTGTGCAAGAGACAGCTGATTGATGTTTCTCTCTCATCGATGTTTCTAACCCTCTATCCCTCTCTCTTCCACTCTGTAAAAAAAAAAATCAATAAAATATATTAAAAAATTAAATACCCATAATGCAAAGTAAGTGCCCTGTGGTCCTGAGAACTACAGATGATCAGCGGGGCTAGGAGTTAATTAAGGGAAGGTCTAGAAAATGAAGAGCCTGAATTAAATAGCTATCATTTCCCCATTTGGGAAGCAAATACATAATAGACCTAAATATATTCATATCCTTTGACTCAATCATTCCAGTTCCAAGAATTTATAACCTCAGAATTTAAATGAAGTAAACAGTGACATGAATAGAGATGGTTACTATAGCATTAGCTCTACCAGAAAAAAAAAAAAAAAAAAAAAAAAAAAAAGCAGAAAGAGGATGAATGCTCAGTTCAGGGGAAGAGTTAAATTAAGTATGGCACAGCTACTTGATGGAATAATACGCTGTCATTAGGACTGTGAGGACCGTGAACAACACGGAAACCCATTTATAAGATAAAAGCTGATTACAAAGTATGCTGACCACCATACAATTGTGACATGGAGACAAAGACTAGAATGAAATACCCAGTAAAGATATCATGGCATTACCTCCTCACAGGCTTTTACTATCCTCACAGTTCCCATTTTAAATCACAAATAAGTAAAAATGATGAGAAAAAAGGCTTTAGTCAGGAGCAATGCATTTCCAGATGTGTTAATTAGGTTAACTTTTCAAATTAGAAAAGTGAGGAAGCCAGAAAGGAGAGGAGTGTATCTCATGCTATTTGATCATATCCACTGAGACCCACTACATGCTTTGAGTGTGTGAAAAGCACATTCACATTAGCCATATAGTCCCCAACACACAAAGGCTTATAATTTAAAGTAAGCTGTCTGAGCTCCTAAATCTGTCAGTTTAAGGGATATGGCGGGATGAGAAAGACAGGAAATGCTACGCCAGGGATGCAATGAGCAAAATCTAGGATGAGGGGGGCTTCACAGGATGAGCAAGCTGGTTTTCCCAACACGTTCGCTGCCGGGAAAATAAGAGAGAAACAGAAAGTACAGAATAAAAAGACAACAAAACAGCGACCAAATGCAACGTAGGCACCTTGTTTAGATCCTTAATTGGAACAAACAAACTGTAAAAAGAAGACTCGTGAGAAAACAGCCAAATCTGGTCAGATATTTGGGGTTCTCGATAAAGTTTTGCTCACTTTCTCCGGATGAAATAATGGTAATGAGGTTGCATTTTAAGTCCTTACCTTCTCAAAATTCATACTGCAGTATTTAAGAGGGAAGTGTTATGACACATGGGGGTTGCTTCAGAATAATCCAGGTGGCAAGGCGGAGGGGAGAAAGCAGGTGGTGGCAGAAAGAATAAAACCACCCTGACCACGCGCTTACACTGCTGAAGCCGGGCGATGGGCATAGGGGGGTGTATTAGCCTCTTCTATTTTTTATAGGTTTACATTTTTCCAGAATGAAAAAAATTCAACGGGGTTTGGAACTGGACTGCAACTGGAATGACCAGTGGTACGGAATCATTTTACACAAGCCTGTTTAATACACAGTGAGGCTGGATTGTGAAACACTAACTACACTGTTTGTGTGTGGAAAAGGCTCATACTCCATCCCTGCTCCAGGGACACCTAGCTGCCCTGCAACAACCCCAGTGGCGACCATGGTGCCACCCCCCCAGCACCCTCCACAGCACCCTCCACAGCCTGCAGAGCAACGCACGCTCCAGACATGGAGACTGGGCGTCTGAGGGAAGGGACTGACGTCAGAGGTTAGCTGCACCCTTCCAGCAATAACGCTGAGATATTACAAGTACGTTCCAAATCTACATTCCCAAACCCCCAAAATGAGGAAGCCCGAGTTTCTCTAAAGCCTCCTGTCCCCCATACTGTCTCTGCTCTCATTCTCAGTAGGTAAGTGGGAGGATGGAATCCTTTGAGCTAGATAAAACTTCCAAGTCGGAGCAATACACATCATTATGACATAGTACTCGATTCCTAAGTGGAACTGTGGTTTCCTGCCCCGGGTGCCTTTAAAAGGAAACACGTACCTGAATGGGATGTGCTGGTGAGGAGCAGAGGAGGAGTTTTTCATTTATGAGACTGATTCCTATGCGAGCAAAGCGCACACACACACACACACACACACACACACACACACACCACCCCCGTTACAGAAACAGGCTCCCTTCCCACTCAGCCCCCGAGTAGAAAGGACACAAGCACACAAAACGATGGCCAAGAAGGAGAGAGATGTTTGGGAGGGAGGGAGGGAGGGGGGCAAAAAAAAAAAAAAAAAAAAAAAATCAATAAACTATATTAAGATAAATAAATAAAAATAAATAAATAAAATAAAAAATAACCCTATTCATGTCAAAAATAAATAAATAAATAAGTAAAATAGTAATATACATTTGACATAAAAAAAAAAAAAAAGGAGCCGAAACTGGTTTGGCTCAATGGATAGAGCGTCGGCTTGGGGACTGAAGGGTCCCGGGTTCGATTCCGGTCAAGGGCATGGACCTTGGTTGCGGGCACATCCCCAGGAGGGGGTGTGTGTGCAGGAGGCAGCTGATCGATGGCTCTCTCTCATCGATGTTTCTAACTCTCTATCTCCCTCCCTTCCTCTCTGTACAAAATCAATAAAATATATTTTTAAAAAAAAATAAAATAAAAAGGAGAGAAAGCGGGCACCACCAGCCCGGGGCCCCGCGCTGGGAACTGCCGTCTGCAGCTGAGCAGAGAGGCGGTACCTGATCGGGTGGTCGCCGCAGGTCTTGGGTCGCTCCATGACGGACACCCACTTGTCGTCGTAGCTGAAGAGCGACAGGTCGAGGTAGGGGCTGCCGCTGTAAGACTGAGCGCTGATGGGGAGCTGGCCCAGCAGCCGGCGGACTGCCTCAGTGTGCCCTCCGTACTTGGCGTTGACAATGGTGTCCTTAAACCTGAAAGAAGGCACCAGCGATGAGGCCGTTTGCGGACGCGCATCTTTTTATCATGACAAACGTTATGTCTCAAAACAGTTCGTTCTGCCAGTGAAAGCCCGGATGTTGACTGAAGTCGGAACTCGCATGTATCGCAAGCCTGGCAAGCTTCAAATACTCTCAAGAAGCAGAAAAACAGAATTAGGAATGGGAAACGTTACTTAGAAAAGTAAATATAAATAAATAAATAAATAAAGGCTCTACAAACAAATTTTTAAAAAATGCATGTTGCTGCCCGTCATGCTGGAACCTTCCTTTCCCATCATCCTTGGAATTCTCTCCACTGTCAAACCGCACCATTCTTTGTGTTTATTGGGAAAATACATCTTCCAGATGCTTCCTCAGAAAAGGTGGGTGGGAGGTAATGATTTGAGACAGCATGTCTGAAAATGTCTTTGCTCCATTGATTATCAGTACTCTAAATTAGGAGTCATTTTTTTTTTTTTTTTTTGAGAAGTCTAAGGGCAGGATTTTAATGGCTTCAAGCTTTCAATGTTGTTGACTAGTCTGTCCAATGCCATTCTGATCATTTTTTTTTATATGTGAGATTTTTTTTTTTTTCTGAAAATCTTTACAATTTTCTCTTTATCCCCAATGCTTCGGAGTTTCATGATGACATGCCCTTCACTTTCTTGATTAATCCTTCTGGGATTTGCCAAACAGTGGATCGCCAAACAAATCCTCTAACTTCCAACTTTTCTCTCCCGTTTTTGTTCTCTTATCTTTTTATATTACTTTCTTGGAGAGTGCTTCAACTATCTCTAAGGAATTTTAAATGTCTAAAGTGTCGCTGTTCTAAGGATGTTCCTGTTCTTATAGCTTGAATTACTTCAGTGACCACAATGTTGTTTCTTTAATCTGTTTGTTTTAGTTTGGTCTCTATATCTTGCAAGACAAAGACTTTCTTAAATGACTCATGATCCTTGGTACCTTATTTTCTCTGAAATATGTCTTCTAACCAATAATAGGTCCTTGCCAAAACCAGTTTGGCTCAGTGGATAGAGCGTCAGCCTGAGGACTGGATGGTCCGTCCCCGGGTTCGATTCCGGTCAAGGGCACGTACCTTGGTTGCGGGCACATTCCTGGCAAGAGGTGTGCAGGAGGCAGCTGATTGATGTTTCTCTCTCATCGATGTTTCTATCTCCTCTCTCCCTTCCTCTCTGTAAAAAAATCAATAAAATATATTTAAAAAATAATAATAATGGGTCCTTTTTCATTTATCTTCAACAAAATATTTTTGAAGACTATAAAATTGAGCATTGAGAGCCATGCGTTCCCAAGAAATAAAAAAACAATTTTAATTTAGATATACATATTTTTTGATGCAGCGAAGTATGATAAGGTGATAAATAAAATGTTACATTAGGAGAGGATTCTGTAGGGGAGATGACATAGCTAGATGGATTGGAGGAAAAGACTGTCACATGGTTTTCCGAAGTAAATGACTGTTGATGTCACTGCCACAAATTAAGAAAATTTAGGCCTGGGAAGCCGGGTGGGACAGCTTACCGGCGCTGGATCTGCCTTGCAAAGTTGTTGCTGGAAGCTGAGCAGGGGAACTGGACTTCGCTGTGCAGGGTGGCGTTCCGGAAGAGGTCGCAGAAGTTCTCAAACAGCTCCAGCAGCTCGTCGGACGTGTTCTCAAACACGGCGATCACCTCCGTCGTCACCATGTTGTACACCACGAAGAAAGACGCCTGCAGGAACAGACGGCGCTAAGGGGGGCGGCGGAGGAGAACGCCATGGCTGACCAACATCGCATGGCTAACAATGCAGGCCACCCCGGCAAACATGAACCACCTCCCCTCCAGCTCCGCGGCTCCAGCATGGCTCCCCGAATTTCTGGGAAAGGGGGGCGGCACGGGGAGGGAAGAGGGGCTTTCTCAGCCAAGGGCTTCGTGTGGCCAGATGGCCCACTGCCTCAGTGCCGCCAAAATGACTGAACTGGCCAGCATCTATGTATGAAAGGGCTTTCCGTCTTTCATTTCCAACTGTGCAAATTCGGTATTTTTCCTTCCAAGGGTTCACTCCCTACTTGCTCGGGAGCCCACCCTGCGACGGATAAAAAATGCCTTCTTTAAATGCCAGATTTAATTTCCTCCCTGCCGAGACAGCGATTTGCGGCCTGCGGTGGCCTGCTGGCAGATTATGTTCTCCTGTGTGCATACATGCAGCGGGAAGTTCACTGGAGGGGCATCTGCCTTTCCTCTCGCTATTCCTGGCCTGCAGAGAGCCGATTGGCCCTAAAACTGCCCAGGCAGGTTGAAACCAAGCAGGGCACTGCGGCTGAGCAGATGAAAAACCAGAGCGGATTTTTCCCATTTCTGTCCTAAATGTTCTTGCGGCCTGGGCACTTGTGAGATACATGTGTGATTTACAGCGGATCTCAGAGGGGGACTGACAAGCAGACAAACGTCCGTTAAACCTCCAGTGCTCTGCTCTGCAAACAGGGAAGCACTGGAACCACCGCTTTTGTCCGCAAATGTGATGGATAATCCACCTGCAGCTTCTGACAGGACTCCAGACGTTCTCAGAACACCGAGATTAGGAGTCCCCCTCCGCTGATTAGGTTTAAATCTCCACCAACAACTTCTGGTGCCATTCGGCCCACCTGTTTTACTAGTCATTAGTCCTTCCCAGAGCTAATGTTACATGACTCTGTGAACCCCTGGAAATTAAATTTGGCTGCAAATTAAAGAGGCTGGGTGGGTAACCTGAGACTAATGCCCCTGATATTAGCGAGGCTTTGTTTGGATGCTCTTTTTACTTATTAGCCTTATTGGAACCCGGCAAATTAAACTGAGGGGGAAAAAGACGGCGAGGGCAGAGAGAATGGGTTTAAAGTTACAGCGTCTGGGAAGCCAAGCCCAGAGCCTAGCGATGTTTCTGGCTGCAGCTTATTACAGCTTTCAGAGTAAAGAGGTCATGGGTTAGCAAAGGAAAAAAACGGATAATCTCAAAGGCAGCAATTACAGACACCGTACTCCCTCCAAAACAAAAGGCAGTTCTGGCTCAGGCCTACACAAACACGGGCTCGCTCGTAACGGGAGAATCAGCTGCAGGTCCAGGAGCGAGAGCAAATTCAGGTGACTTTGTGGTTTCCTGGTGTGCTCTCTGCACCGAATTGGGGGGTGGCGGGGAGGCAGGCAGGACCGCACCTCCTACCTGGGACGGGTCTGTGACCCGCAGGGTGACCACGTCCTCGCTGGTGTACTTGATGAACAGGTGGTTCTCGTCCAGAAGCTGCATCTTCCACATGCGCAGCTGCCGCAGCTGGTCGAAGTACTGGAAGAAGCGCCGCTTGGCCACGGCGCTCCCGTCCTGCTCCGCGCGGCGCCACAGGTAGACGAGCAGCCGGTGCTTGAGGGAGTTGATGAAGGGGTCCCGGAAGGGGTTGGCCATGCCCGCCTGGCCGTCCCGCTGCACCTCGGGGAACACGGCGGACACCGTGAGCAGGTCGTCCTCGTGGCAGAAGCGGCCGATGGTGCGCACGTCGATGAACGTGCCCTCGGGGGTCACCTGGAAGACGTGGATGGTCTGCTGCTGCACCGACAGGATGGCCAGGATGTTCTTGTACAGGTACAGGCCCTGGTTGTGCGACAGGACCACCTTGTCGCACTTGAAGGTGCGCGTGTCGCACAGGCGGCCCGTGTGGAGGTCGATGATGTGCAGGGAGTAGTCCTCCAGCGGGGACCGCGGGTTGGGGGTCACGGACTCGCTGTTCCGATACACCTCGTAGAAGGGCGGGTGCGGCTCGTCCGGCAGGTAGGCGGCCGAGCCCACGATGACGCAGCGGCCGTCATCGGTGAAGAGGCTGCACTCCCGGTTGAGGTGCTCCCCGTGGGCCGCCACGTTGGTGATGTGCAGCAGGACGAAGAAGCGCTCAAAGAGCCGCCCGCGGATGTTGACCGAGCGCTGGTCGTTGCCGTTGGACAGGATCTCGCCCTCGTAGCCCTGCAGCAGGTCCTCGGCCGCCTGGCAGCCCTGGTACTCGTAGATCTCCAGAGACGTCTGGTCCGAAGAGAAGGCGATGAAGTAGCGCCCGTCGGGCGAGAACTTGCGCAGGAAGCACGGAGGCTTCTCCACGTTGACCACCGTGAAGTTGGGGAAGACGTTCTGGTGGAACACGCGCACCTGGTGCCAGTGCGTGCCCGCCCTGCCCGAGCTGATGCGCCGGCGCTCCAAGCGGTGGATGATGTTCTGGTTCTGGATCCTTCGAGGCTTGATGGTGGGAACATGGTGGTCCATGGTCACATCGCTGCCTGGAAAGGCCAAGCAGAAGAAAGCACGACGCAAGTTACCAAGACCTACACAAGTCAGACAGATCCCCCTCCTTGTACGGGACCCCCCCAAGATGAGAGGGATCAGCATTTCCTTCTCAGATTATAAACAGGAAGTGGTCCTGTCATTGCTGGGTCTAGAGACAGATTTGAGAGGACCTAATTCAACTGGATTATCTTCACAACATGCTTAGCTGTTGGGAACAATCTACAGGGGGGGGGAAAAAAAAAAAACAACACACCTACGTCTGCACAAAATTTGTTCAATGTAAGAGTCACATTCAATGTACACTTATTTTAAAAGCTTTTTTTTTTTTATTTATTTACTTATTTAGTATTGGGCTCTTAAGATGTCCATGCTACCCAAAGCAATCTACAAACTCAATGTAATCCATACAAAAATCCCAACAGCAATTTTTTGCAAAAAAAAAATATATATATGTTAAAATGCATCCTAAAGTGCATGTCATCTCAAGGAAACCCAAAAGGCCAAAAGTTTTCTTAAAGAAAGCAAAGGCAGAGGACTCACACTTCCTGGTTTCAAAACACACCACAGAGCTAAGGGCATCAAACAAGTGTGGTACCAATGGAACAGATAAGAGAGCCCTTTGTGCATACCAGCCTGAGAGTCCCGAAGTTCAGAGAAACCTAAACATATAATAGATCACATGCTCATACCCTCCCTCCCCTTCATGGCACTTGCCCTGCCTGCAACTTTATCTCTGCACTTGACTTAGGTCTATGGCGTATGTGATGAGTGCGAGAGGTCTCTATGCCCATCGCAGTCGTGGGCACACCCCGAGTCTCCCGTCCTCAGGCTCTTTGCCAAGTCAGGGACCCATCCGCATGGGGTTGTGCCCTCTGCCTAGGATGTATTCCCTCTGGCCCTGGCCACCAACGCCAGGAAGTCTTCCCGGACCACCCGACCTAAACCTGGCCTCCCGTTAGATCTGTGTCTGCCTCCTCCGAAGGAATCGTCCCCGTTTGAACCTGTGCGTTCGCTTGCATGGCTCTGTGCTTACTGCTGGTCGCCCCGACTACCAGGGAGGAAATAATCACTTAAGTGCCCCCCCAGTTTTCTCGGGGGGGGGGTCCCCGCCCTGGCACACCGTGCCTTCTGCAGGTCATTCGGGGAACAAATGCAAGCCTGGCTGCGGCGGGCCGCTGGCTCCCTCTGTGACCCTCAGCAACCCTCCCCCCTGGGCTGGTTCTCAGTGGCCCCCAGAGGGCAGGTGCACCCCCCCAGGGGGCGCCCCCCCCCCCCGGAAAGAAAAGCCAGGGGCGGGGCCTCAGGGGAAGGGCCAGCTGAGGGAAGGCGGGGGCCGCGGGGAGGGCTTGACGGGCTGGGAGGCCGGGCGTGGGAAGGAGAGGTCCTCACCTGCGGGTCCCGGCTCCGAGGGGCCGGGGTTAGGGACCCCCAGTCGGCTCTGCGCGCGCCTCCCCAGGCCCCGGCCCCGGCCCCGCCCCCGCCATGCTTTTGGGAACCGGCTCCGGGACCTCAGGCCCTCGCTTCCGGCATCCACCGGAAGTGAGGGGTAACGAGACGCCACTTGGGGATAGCGCGCCGCCCAGCCGGGCCTGGGAAGCGCTACAGCGCACCCTGGTGACCGGAGGGGAGTTGGAAGCCAAAGAGGCCCAGTGACTGACTGCCAAGGAAAAAAAATCACCCAGAGCTCCTAGCAGGGCAACCCTGGCAATGTCTCTATGCCTGCTGGGCACCTTTGCAAAAACAGACACAAAAGCCGGTGTGGCTCAGTGAGTAGTGTCGGCCCACGCACCAAAGGATCTCGGGTCGGATTCCTGGTCAAGGGCACATACCTGGGCTGCAGGTTTAACCGCCCCCAGCTGTGGTCGGGGTCCACGCTGGAGGCAACCAAATTGATGTGTCTCTCTCACGTCGATGTTTCTCTCTCTAAGAAAAAATAAAATAAAAATTCATTTTTCATCATTTCATTAAATGCACCGTTTCATTCGCTCAGGAACCTAAGTAACGGTGAATGCTTTTGCTCAAAAACCAATGGAATATTTGGACTGGGCTATGCATACAAAGTCAGGCGCCACAAAGACAGAGACCATTTCTGTATTGCAACTATTGATCCCCGAGGGTTAACGCAGTGCCAGGCACACGGGCACCCAAGAAAGACTTGCTGAATGGGGGTGAGAGCAGCCAGGGAGAGGTCAATGGGGGGAGAAGGAGACTCATGCAATACTTTAAACAATAATTAATTTAAATTTTAGCCAAAACCGGTGTGGCTCAGTGGATAGAGCGTCGGCCTGCGGACTGAAGGGTCTCAGGTTCAATTCCAGTCAAGGACATGTAACTTGTTTGTGGGCACATCCCCTGTAGGGGGGTGTGCAGGAGGCTGCTAAATCGATGTTTCTAACTCTCTATCCCTCTCCCTTCCTCTCTGTAAAAAAAAATCAATAAAATATACTTTAATAATTTATATATATATAATTATATGTATATATGTATATACATATATACATATATGTTTGCTGAATGCTGACAACAGCCGTTAGTCCGCACGGAGCGATGGCAACACTAGATGTTCCTCTGTGATTCCACGGCGCCTCAGCCCGCCTCTCTCAGCTGTTCCCATGTCTAGTCCCCGCCACTCCTCCCCATGTCCTCGCCCCCTGGGAAGAACATTGAGTGCTAAACTGCCGCCGCACCCCCTGGCTCCTGCCTGCTCTGTCCCTCTCAGGAGTCCCCGAGTGAGTGAGATGATGGAGGGACAGGGACGGAACTGAAGGACTTGAGAGCTTTCTCGCCACTCACTCCCGTCCTCCTGTGGCTCATCTGCCTCGGCTTTTAACCACTCTGCCCGGGGCCTGCATTAGCCGCGAGGAGAGGGCGTGGGAGAGTAGCATGAGAGGCTCTTGTCCTGTCTCCCTTTCTAGAAGAGGCTGGCAGAGCTCTCTTCACCTCTACACGGCCGCAGACATGCCTTCCCCTAAGTATTTCACCACCCCCACCCCCAACACCCCCACCCCATCACCACCACCCCCACCCCCACCACCCCTTTAACCCAAACAACACGCCACTGGGTACGTAGATACTGTGTGCCAGACCTATGCCAATCATTTCACCTGCGTTCTCTCAGCCAATCCCCTAGCTGACGCAGTGAGTTAGGCATTATCACCCCACTTTACAGATGCAACAACTGAGGCTCGGTTCCACTTGATGCCCCCTTCCCTCCCTCCTCCCAGTCCTGTATTTGCTTTACGAGACTCACTTCATCAGAATAAGCTATTTGCAGAAAACGCTCGGTTTCTGCTTGCAGCTTGTCAGTCTTCAGATTTCAAACTCAAAATTCGTATCAACTGTCTGTGCACAGGTGCCTTCCTTCCTCCATGGGCTCCCTACCCGAGGTCCACATGTTTCTTTTTTTTTTAATAATGTTTTTAAATATATTTTTATTGAATTTAGAGAGAGAGGGTGGGAGAGGGATAGAGAGATAGAAATATCGATGGAGACGTCAATTGGCTGCCTCTTGCACGCCCCCTACTGGGGATGGAACCCACAACCTGGGCGTGTGCCCTGATCGGGAATCAATCCATGACCTCCTAGCTCATGGGTCGATGCCCAGCCATTGAGCCAAAGGCCGCTGGGCAAAACGAGTTGTTCTTGTATTGGCGAAATTACAGTGACGAAGTAACAACGAAAATAATGTTGTGTTTGGGGGTCACCACAACATGAGGAGCTGTATTGAAGGGTCACGGCGTGAGAAAGGTTGACAACCACTGTGCCTAGCGTATGTCAGAGGCCGCCTAATATGTATTTGCTGAATGAATGAATGAACGAATGAATGAATGAGTCCAACCTGGTGTCTGGTGCTCTCCTCTTCCTAAATGTGCCTGTGATGTGGGGGAGGAGGGGCAGGGAGCACGGCAGCATCTTCCTTCCTGTAGCCGAAGCTGAGCTTTGTGGGGCATGTTGGTGAGCCAGGGGTCCCGGGCCACCTCGGGGCCGCGCTGTCACCCCCCCCTCCTCCTCCTCCCAGAGGGGAACGGCTGGAAATGAAAGGAAGGGGCTGGGGACCGGGAAGCCGAAGCCCAGGGAACGTGAAAAATCTTCGCTGCTGGGGAAAAGCACTCTCCTTCCCATAAAAGCAATGAAATTAGAGGTAATTGTGAGACACCGAGATTCGATCAAACCGGGGAGGCGCTCAGGTGAGGGGGGCCGGGGCTGGAACGGCTGGGCCCCCCGCCAGTGCCAGCAATCGCCCTCCGTCTCAGTGGCTGAGCAAACTGTCCTCGGGGCCCCGTCCCCACTCTGCCCTGTAATGGGGGCGGCTGGAGGAGCTGGGGTGCCTGGCCCCCCACAAGCACGGGCCTCCTCCCAACCACTGCCCCAGCCTGGGACCTGCTCAGAGGGCAGGAGGCTAAGGGGGTGGCTAAGCCAGGTTCACCGTCCTGCCTACCTTAGGCCACACGCCCCAGAGGGCCCGGGAGGGGCCAGAGGGCACTGGAAGAAGGGAAAGACAGGGCATCCTTCCTTCTCCCCTTCCCCCGCTCCTTTTAAAAACATATATATATATATTTTTTATTATTGATTTCAGTGAGGTAGGGAGAGGAAGAGAAAGAGAAGCATCCATGATGAGAGAGAATCATAGATGGGCTGCTTCCTGCACGCCCCACACTGGGGATCGAGCCCACAACCCTGGCACGTGCCCTGACCGGGAATGAAACCTGGGACCCTCCAGCCCGCAGGCCAACGCGCTATCCACTGAGCCGCACCAGCCAGGGCCCCTTTCCCTGCTTTGCTCTCCCTTTTACCCGCTGAGAATCCAGCGGTGAGAACGCACGGCCCGTAAGACAGAGAAGCACCTCGGGGTGGCTCTCTGACCCACAAAGGGGCAGGTGGAAGAGACGGGAGGTGGGCAGACAAGAGGAGGGGGTGCCGCCCGCTGCCACCTTCACAAACATCCCCGTCCGCCGGGGGCTGGGCCCCTTGGGCATCTG